CAGCTTCCGCCCCATCTCGTCAGTAACTGACGTGAGGGGGGTACCCCGCGCGTCAATATCGGACGTAGAGGGAACCTTGCAAAACGTCAATATGTGACGAGTTGGGAGTGAGAATGTGTAGGATGAGCACAATAAATGGAGTCAGTGTTCCCTCGCCCAGACGCAGGTCACCGGGGTCCTGGAGCCAGGCCTGGAGGTGAAGCACGTTGGCGAGCGCCTGGTGGCTGGGCTTTCACCCATCGACCATCTGTGGGAGGGGCCGTAGGGGTCAGGTGCATTGTGTGTTGGGCAGTGGTCGAGGGCGGGGACCTTGGTGGTCTGATCCTTGGCTACAAAAGCTGGCTCTAGAGACGTGGAATGTCACCTCTCAGGTGGGGAAGGAGCCTGAGCTGGTGTGTTTGGTTGAGAGGTTCCGACTAGATATAGTTGGACTCACCTCAACGCACCACTCTGGCTCTGGAACCAGTCTCCTCGAGAGGGGTTGGACACTTTTCCATTCTGGAGTTGCCCATGCTGAGAGGCGCCAAGCAGGAGTGGGCATACTTATTGCCCCCATCTAGGTGCCTGTACGTTGGGGTTCACCCTGGTGAACGAGAGGGTAGCCTCCCTCCCCCTATGGGTGGGGGGACGGGTCCTGACTGTTGTTTGTGCCTATGCGCCTAACAGCAGTTCAGATTACCCACCATTTCTGGAGTCCTTGGAGCGGGTGCTGGAGAGCGCTCCTAACGGGGACTCCCACGTTCTGCTGGGGGACTTCCAACGCTCACGTAGGTAATGACAGTGAGACCTGGAGAGGTGTGGTTGGGAGGAACGGGCCCCCCGATCTGAACCCGAGCGGTGTTTGTTATTGGACTTCTGTGCTCGTCATGGATTGTCCATAACGAGCACCATGTTCGAACATAAGGGTGTCCATATGTGCTCTTGGCACCAGGACACCCTAGGCCGCAGTTCGATGATCGACTTTGTTGTCGTCTCATCTGATCTGCGGCCGCATGTTTTGGACACTCGGGTGAAGAGAGGGGCGGAGCTATCAACTGACCACTACCTGGTGGTGAGTTGGCTCCTTTGATGGGGGAGGATGCCGGTCAGACCTAGCAGACCCAAACGTATAGTGAGGGTCTGCTGGGAACGTCAGACAGTGCTTCAACTCACACCTCCGGGGGGAACTTCGAAAACGTTCCAGGGGAGGTGCTGACCTCAACTCGGGGCAATGTGGGTCGGTGGGCGAAATACTTTGAGGACCTCCTCAATCCTACTGACACGACTTCCCATGAGGAAGCAGAGCCTGGGTACCCTGGGTTGGACACCGCAATCTCTGGTGCCGAGATCACCGAGGTGGTTAAAAAGCTCCTCGGTGGCAGGGCGCCATGGGTGGATGACGAGATTCGCCCGGAGTTCCTTAGGGCTCTGGATGTTGTGGGGTTGCATTGGTTGAAACGACTCTGCAATATCGTGTGGACATCTGGGGCAGTTCTCCTGGATTGGCAGACCAGGGTGGTGGTCCCCTAATTTAAAAAGGGGGACCACAGAGTGTGTTCCAACTATAGGGGGATCACACTTCTGAGCCGCCTCCCTGGTAAGGTCTATTCAGGAGTTCTGGAGAGGAGGGTCCGTCGGATAGTCGAATCTCGGATTCAGGAAGAGCAGTGTGGTTTTCATCCTGGTTGTGGAACAGCAGACCAGCTCTACACCCTCAGCAGGGTCCTGGAGGGGGCATGGGAGTTTGCCCAACCAGTCTACGTGTGTTTTGTGGACTTGGAGAAGGCGTTCGACCGTGTCCCTCTGGGACTCCTGTGGGGGTACTCCGGGAGTGTGGAGTACCAGGCCCATTGATATGGGCTGTTAGGTCCCTGTATGACTGGTGCCAGAGCCGGACTCGTTTCCGGTGAGAGTTGGACTCCGCCAAGGTTGCCCCTTGTCACCAATTCTGTTCATAACTTTTATGGACAGAATTTCTAGGCGCAGCCAAGGTGTTGAGGGGATCCTTTTTGGTGACCTTAGGATCACATCTAATGCTTTTTGTGGATGATGTGGTCCTATTGGCTTCATCAGACCGTGATCTCCAGCTCTCGCTGGAGTGGTTCCCAGCCGAGTGTGAAGCCGCCGGGATGAGGATCAGTGCCTCCAAATCCGAGAGCATGGTCTTGAGCCGGAAACCGGTAGCATGCCGCCTCCAGGTCGGGGAGGATGTCCTGCCCCAAGTGGAGGAGTTTAAGTATCTCGGGGTCTTGTTCACGAATGAGGGAAGAATGGAGCGGGAGATCGACAGGATTGGTGCTGCGTCTGCAGTGATGTGGGCACTGTACCGGTCTGTTGTGGTGAAGCGGGAGCTGAGCCAGAAGGCAAAGCTTTCGGTTTACCGGTCTGTCTATGCTCCTACCCTCATCTATGGTCACAAGCTTTGGTAGTGACCGAAAGAACGAGATCGCAGATACAAGCGGCCTAAATGAGTTTCCTCTGCAGGGTGTGTGGGCTCTCCCTTAGAGATAGGGTGAGAAGCTTGGTCATCTGGGAGGGACTCTGAGTAGTCGCTGCTCCTCCATGTCGAGAAGAACCAGTTGAGGTGGCTCAGGCATCTGGTTAGGATGCCTCCTGGACGCCTCCCTGGTGAGGTGTTCCGGGCATGTCCCACTGGGAGGAGGCCCAGGGGAAGGCCCAGGACACGCTGGAGGGACTATGTTTCTCAGCTGGCCTGGGAGCGCCTTGGGATTCCCCCAGACAAGCTGGTCCAAGTGGCTGGGGAGAGGGAAGTCTGGGTCTCTCTGCTTAGGCTGCTGCCCCCGCGACCCGATCCCGGGTAAGCGGCAGAAAATGAATGGATGTATGGATGGATAAGATTCTAATAAGATAAAAATAATCAGCTGAAACAAAACAAGAAAGACAGGATTTCTTCTTTTAAAATAAGACAATTTAAATTTTTCATCACTTGCCCCTAAGTGCCATTATTGCCTTTTTGCAAAAATACAGCTGCAGATACCAATACCAGAATCTGAGCTGCCAAAAAACTGAATAAGTTTGTGTAAAGCCATCATCATGAAAACATCAAGTTTTTTTTTCTTGCAGGAAAAAGGACATAAATGGGACCAACATTCAAAATACAGTATTGTTTCAGTCATTACATTATCAAACGTCCAAATTTATAAACTGATGAAAGACAAGTCATGTGGAAAAAAGCTGTATGTTTTATTTGATATAAACCACAATTAGAAAAATATAGTTTGTGACTGTGTCCGAATCTTACGAGTTCTCAACAATAGTCTGAAGAGGATGGTGGATTAAAACTAGATTACAAACCTGAGGGGTGTAGTTTTAAAGCAAGCTCAAAACAGTTTTTTATTTGTTTGTTGTTTTGAATAATCCCCAACTTCCAGAAATTAGCTTTAATACCAGTGATAATCAATTTGTTTTTCTAATATTTTGACCCCTCTTCAGGCTTTATGCACTCCCTCATAAAAGAGGGATGCACACTCAAAGGTTTTTACATTAAAAATTCACATTTATGTTACAATTACGGTAGAAAAAGAAAATAAGCAAACAGGGGATATTTTTATAGTTGATTTAAATGCAAAGCTTTGAACAGAGCAGGTTTCATGAGTTGCCATGGTGACTGAGCCAGCTTAGAAGAGCCAACTTTAAGACACTGACAACTCTGGGCCTACAGATTATCATACATTACTAGCCCAGTAATCTGGCTTTGTAGCACACCCCACTGTAGGATCGTCTTCCACTGTCAGGTTAATGATTTTTTTTCTTCATTTTTTACATCTATACATAATATATCCTGCTGCTTTGTTGCTAGTTTTTCTCCAAAAGCCACTTGTTTCTTTTTCTCCTGAGAACAAAGTGTTTCAGTCGTATCTGCTCTCAACAGGAGACAGTTTGTCCTCTTGCAAACTGGTTTTGAGTTTTTAAATCTCATCGGACTTCCTTTTTATCTGGGTTTTCCTCTCATTTTTTTTCTCTGAGTTTTGCTTCGTCTTGCTAGCTTTAATCTCTGCTTCCCACTGTTTCTTCACCAGAGTGTACAGCCTCATGGTGGCCTGTGCGTCTTGGACCTGGAAAAAGCAGGAAGAATACATTGTTAGGCCTTTCACAATAACAAATTTTACTGGACGAAAAATTGTCTCCGAAATTATTGTGATAAACGATAGTATTGTTGGAGACCAGTTTAAACTAATATAAAGACTTGTTTACGGAAGTTTACATTAAAATTTACTTAATGTAAAAACAAAAAACAACCAACTGACGGCAATCCCAAGGCGTCGCTAGCTGTATGAAGGCATCAGAAAACTGAAGACGCTGCTCTGGCTAAAAGTCTGTTCATGGGCTTTCATGCTACAGAGTTTAGGAGACCATGCGCCTGGCAAATACCTGACACCAGAGTTCACTGCTCTCTATGCTAAGAAGTAAAAGAGGTAGACATGAAGAAAACAAAAAAGCATGCAAGTTAAAATTATTGTCTTCAATTTAATTCATCATATGTTTAAGTGATTTATTGTTTATTGTGACAGACCTATACATTGTATGTATGGGTCGACAACTTTGTCATTATCATCATCGAAAGAGCATCTTCATCATTTTACAGAAGAGGTGACTTACAGATGAATGTTCCCCCTGCTGGACCCTTACGTTGAGGACTTCTTTACAGAGGACTTTCAGTGAGGGCCGACCGCTCTAAAAATTAGAAAATCATGTTATCATGTAAATTTCCTGAGTTGATATGAGATTTCTTAAAAGAACTTGAGTATGAAAGTGTTGGAACTATTTGAAACCTCATATCAATTTTACCTTGGCAATCTTCTTGAAGGGTTTATACTTCTGAGTGTCCCTGATTTTCTTTTTTGGATGATCTAAGAGCAGAATCTGAAACAGTCCAGAGGTTAATAAAGTTTGTTTGAACATTTAACAAGTTAAAATAACAATCTACCTTAAAGTCATTGTGTACAGCATGTCCAACAACTATTCTCCCTTGCAGGATGTCTGCAACCTCCTTCTGCACAGTCTGTACATTCTCTCCTGCAGGGAGATGAATGTGGACATTAAATACCATCATAAAGAAAAAGAAATAAGAGCCATTTTAATACAATGAACCATAACTGTCAACTTGTAATTGTTCTGTTGCCCATTTCAACTCACCGTCCTTTATGTCCTCTGGTCGGATCCCGCTAACTTCTGTTCTGTAGTCTGTGACCTCCTCTGTGGGTTTCACGTATTTGTCATAGATGCATTTTCCAAACTGGTTCACGATGGACACTCGAGCCAGCATGCTGTCCTCGCCACCAGGACCAATTCCCACCATCTCACAATCGACGGCCACAACTCTTGTGAGGCTGAAACCAAACAACGCCGAATGGGTCAAACAATCAAGGAGTTTTACATTTTTAGTTATAAACTACAAAATGGTGATTTTATGCAAAATGGAAAAAAACTGTTATGGTAAATTATTGAAGGGGTTTTTTTAAGTGTTCAACTGAAACCTTAAAACAAACTTAGTTTTAATAATATTACAAACAAAAAAATTAAAAATATATAACAGCTGCTTGCAAAACATAATAAAATAATATGGATTTACATTTCTAAAAGAAATTATGTATTTTCTGATCTAGCAGAATTATGGATCTTAGTCATTTTAGGGATCGTCTGAAAAAAAAATCCCACAATAAAAGATTAGATTTGAATTAGTGAGAAAAAAATTGGCTGAGCCGTCACCCACCCTTCAAAACCTTTTTCCTTCACCAAGGCGCTCTCCGTATGGAGGCTTTTATGTACTCCCTGCTTCCTCCTCATGATCTCTGCAGCCTCGGCTCCTATTGTTTCCTCAACATCATCAGGGTCGACGTCGTCGAACCAAAGATCCTCCCTGCAACAACACACGAGGTGACTTAAAGAGCAATACGTTTTCTGGTCTCAAACATCAGCTACAGTTATTCCAGTGTACATACTCTGTCGGTTTCCTCTTCTCCTCCACATATTTTGTTTTCTTAGCTTCAGGCTCGCTGTTTGACTTTCCTTTGTCCTTTTTTCGTTTTGGAGCAGCAGGCGGCCGAGCGTCTGAGACAGAGGGGTCCTTTAAGTTCAGACCAGTTTCCTTGGGAACACTATTAGGAGCAGATTTGGGCTTCTGTTTTTTCTCAGCGTCCATCTGGTTGGATGCAGCATTGTTCTTGTAAACACCTTTTGAAGCATTTTCTTTTGCCTTCTTTGGAAAGACACCGTTCTGTTTCTGTGTCGCTGGGCTCTTTTTCTCTGGCTGACTGGCCTTTAGGATCTGTAGGAAGTTTCATTAAATTGTTAAATACAATAACCTGAAAATGCACACGTTACGTGATGTGTTGACATGTTTGTACAAACCTCTTGTAAAGCTTTCCAGTTGGAAGAGAACTGCTGGGGTTTTACTGGAGGTGCAGTTTGCTGTGTTTCAGCTTTTTCTTGGTGTTTCAGTGGAGCAGCTACCTTCTGAAACTTCTTTTTTGGGTTGCGTTTTATCCAAAAATCCTTCCTCTTATCTTTAGCTGTGGGCTTGTGTGTTTTGGAATCAGAATTAGTTTTCTTCTTCTTCGTCTTAGACATTATGGTCTGTTTCAATCWGCCACGCTGACATGCAGCGAGCTGTTTCTAAGCTAAAGTTTAGATAGTTCCTGTCGTCGTACTGAGAAATGTTTTCCGTCAGTAAATCTATAACAAAAACAACAGCAATGACGTTAAACTGTCTTGATTCTTTACGAAAGAGCACGTAAAATCTGGTCACCAGTTAAATTTACCGAAGCCATGCTGCTGCTTGTATATTTTCTACGTGTGCAACGCCCAAATGAGTCCGTTAGAAACAAAACATAGTAATTTAGATGCTTCCTTTTAGTTAAAAGGCAGTATTTATMGCCAAATCCAATTCCTGTATATAAATTTGTTTAAAATATTTTATTTATTGTTTATTTTAAAATGTACGTTTGTTGCTGTTTTGTGCCTTTATTCATAAATAGCGGAACGACCTAACATTCTGGAAACGTTTCTTACCAAACCACTGCCAACGGACCGTCGGAAGTTCCTGTTCTCTCAGATGAAGCGAAGATTACGAAACAAATATCTTGTTTTATTAGAAAATCAGCTTTATTTATTTACACATTATTAAAAAAACGTAATGTCATAATATTTGACTGAAGTCTTGTAACTTATGAACCTAGGTAAGCCGACAAAAGTATTTCCATAAATCTGAATATTCTCATTTAGATTTTAAGCCTAATAAATGTTTGTGTTTTGTTTTCAGATCATGGTTGAAAACTCTCCGTCTCCTCTCCCTGAAAGGGCGATTTATGGGTTTGTCCTCTACCTTGGGTCCCAGTTTGCTTTCTGTAAGTCCAAATTAAATTATTAATTTATCTTGGTTCGTACTCTTCCCATTTTGTAATTATCTTGATAAAGAGGACAATGTGTACTTTTATAAACCAGTTTAATAAATGACAGCATTATATTCAGATTATTTTTTTATCTGTTCAAATTGTTCTGTAACAAATAGAAATTATTAACACTAAATAGGTTTTCAGGTCAATACAAATTCGAAAAACATAGAATATACAATAAATTTTCATTATGTAATTAGTCCTGTGAACCGTATCTGTATTGCTCTTTTCTCTTCACAGTTCTTTACTGTGTGTGGGCGTTTGTACCAGAAGAGTGGCTTCATTCAATAGGGCTCACTTACTGGCCTCAGAAGTAAGTGTAAACACAGACGTTTTCCTAAGGTTTAGGCTCTTTTGTCACTTTTCCTAAATGCKCAAACTTTGACGCCACTTTGTGTTTTGTAGATACTGGGCTCTTGCAGTTCCGTACTACCTGCTGGTGGCGTTACTGGTCTTTTTTGTTGTGTTGTTTGGAATAAACATGACCAACACGGCTCCACTGGACTCTGTGGACAACATCACAGGTGAAGCTAAATGCAGCCACAGGGCTGAACTGTGATTCTAGATACTTTAAAAGATGTCATTACCGTCATTTCTAAAATAACCAACATACCTGCAATCAAAACACCAGCTGATTGTCTTCAAGTGAGAAAATAAACCTGTCTGTCTGTAAAATTTAATTATGAATGAATATATAGAAGATTAATAATTCTATTTCAATTCAAGATGTATTAAAGACACAGAATTCAGGTTTATAGTAAAACAAAGAATTAAAACAAAAGACTAAATGAATGCTGTCATTTTGTTATATTAATTATCTTCTTTCTGTCACAGATGTGTTTGCACAAGGACAGAAGACAGACGTGTACCGGAAGGGGGGAATACCCCGACTGAAAGATGTCTCCATCAGTGAAGTCAACAAAATGTTTTATTTATCATCCGAGACACAACAGTGATAAATGTACTGAGCTGTAGGCAGGGGTTACATGGAGCTACTAAAGCAAATTCCACCGAGGTCCCAGATCTGTATTTCAAGGGAGGCCTTGGTCTGAAAGCAACCTAGCATGTTTTGGTCTATGTGAGGAAACCACTCCCACAAACACAAGGAGGACATGCAAACTCCACACAGAAAGACTTCTGGTCCAAATCAGAGACTGAACCTTCTTGCTGTGAGGCAATAATGCTAACCACTAATCTATCGTGTTGCTTTTTATGCTACTGGTTATTTTTTTGTTCCTTAAAATAAATACACTGGCTATTACGCTTTGTTTTATTGAACATATTAAATCAGTTGCCATCTTGTACATATGTGTATGTATCTGTGTATTCATATGTATTAGACAAAAAATAAATATATTATTGCAACAAAAAAGCCTTTCTTTGTTTTTGTTTTTCACAGTGAGTTTGCAGCCATTTATGACCTTTTTACATTAGTTTGTTTGATCAACTACTGAGGCTGCAGCTACCGTTTATTGTTTCATTATTCTGTTAATATAACTTTAATTATTTAGAAACTACAGTGATATGCGTTGTGGTGTTACATGACTTGTTTGTCCATTCAGGTAAGAATCAGAAGGATAAAGCAGATGTCCCAGATAATGATCAAATTTATCTGGATAAATGTTCATGTGTGTTTTTATTTTCGTTAAATTAGTTCATATTTCTAACCACTAGATGGCGAGAACACAACTTCGTGCTTTAAATCGAAACCAATGCAGAAAATAAAAATAATAGGTTAAATTAATGACCAGCAGGGGGCACCAATGCGCCATTTTTGCAGCGTCTGGTCAGTTTTGCGGGTAGAAGAAGAATTGTCCTTTATTGTTTAGTTGAAAGCGAATGAGCTGCTTTTTGCATCATATTTAGAATAATCTCTCATAGTTTCTTAGCCTCACTACCAGTCATACATTGTATTTAAGTATTGTATTTAGTGTTGTAAAAAAAAATGGCGTTTGCGGTGCCGGTGTGGCTCGCTGTCCAAGAGGAGCTCTTCGGGATCGGCGAGTCAGAGGGACCTGGTGGTTCTGCTGTTCCGAGTTGTTTCGACGGTTTCACCGACGAGGAATTGTTCAAGATATTCCACCTCACCAGACCCTGCCTTGACTTCATCACAGAGGCCGTCCAGGACCGCATGAAGACGGCCAACGTCAAGCGAGCCGTACCGACCGTGGACGTGATGGTCATGCTGGCGCTGAACTTTTACGCACAGGGGCTGTTCTCTCCTGCCGTCGCGTCGAAAGCATGGACGAGCCATTCTGTCAGCCTCACCACCGTGATGAACACGATGTCCGGGGTCATCGCGGGGATGTCCGACGTTTTCATCTCGTTCCCCCTCACCCCGGAAGCCCGGAGCAGAACCGCATCCAAGACGGAGGAGCTCTGCGGGATCCCCAACGTGCTGGGCGTCCTGGCTCCGGCGCACTTCAAGATCAGAGCCTCCCCCTACGAGAAGACCACCTTCAAGTCCTTTATCAACACGCTCGGGTACACGTCGATCGTGAGCCAGGTGATCTGCGACTCGGTGGGTAACATCCTGAGTGTGGAGAAGTGCTGCGTGGGCAGCACGCACGAACAGGAAATGTGGGACACCTCGTTCAAAGGGAAGCAAGTGGAGGATGGTGTGCATGGCCCGTTTTGGCTGATTGGTAAGATAAAGATAAGCTTCAGAGTCATTAAGTTAGAATTATGGCACGGACCAGGAAATGTCGAGTGTTTTCTGCAAAACCAGAATGACAGYAAATGCATGTTCCCATCATGACAAATCATAAAAAAATAATCCAGTCATCATAAAGTAATAAAAATATATAGGTTGAAACTTGCCCCCTCCCCCTAAAAAAAGAGGTCAAAGCATAACTTCAAAAGTCAAATCGTGGTCATGTGCAATGATGCGTGAAAAGTATTCACAGTGCAAACAGAACCAAGATCAAAGTAAAAGCTGAATCTGTTGCCCCAGTGGCTCATTGAGGTCACCACGCTAACTGTCACTTCCTGATATCTAACCTACAGTCAGACAGAAACAGGCTGGAAATCAAGTTTCAAACAGTCCTTGTGCAAAAACTACAAGTTAGAGTTGTAGARGAGCCTGTGTAATGTTGAGGATCACATGTCACTTATGTTTCTGCTGTGTTTAATGTAGGACATAGGACAAATTATAAGGACCCCTTACAGTTCTGAAGAAAATATGTTGAGCTAAAATATATCTGAAGTCCGTGGAAGTATGGGTGTGTGCATTCTGCARGAATTTGTGAAAGAAAAAGAGAGACGCTGACTACATCCCTACACTTTGGTGTATAAATTATAGATGTAACAAAGTTTTGTGGGACAATTCTTCAAAGGTTTTGAAATTGTAGACATTTTAGAAGACTAGTGTGTGATATCATCTAGAATCTGTGGGGAAAAAATCTGTAAAAATATCATAAAACTTAAACCGTCAACATTAAAAATAAGAAAATGGCAGTTAGGAAATGTGAAGTCCATTTCAACATTAAATGGTKTCCCTTCGATGATGTACGGCTCAGCTTTAGAGCTCCAAATAAGGATGAGTTTTCTAACACATTAACCCCAAATCCCATTGCTTGCTTGGTAATTCTGAGCAGGTGCTCTAAGGAGATTCTTACAACACATTTCTATATTAATTCTTTTAGTTTCTCATTATATTGTCAGAACTAATATTGTAATTGCAACCTTTTGTGTCGTACAAAGGTGGGAAAAGTTACCGCTTAAGCAAACACGTCTTGACTCCCGTGGCRGCGCCTGCAAACGACAGCGAGATCCGCTTCAACAAAGCCCACGCAAAGATCCACGAAGTCATGCAGACGACGCTCAGCTCCATGAAGAGGCGGTTCAGGTGTCTCCTGCAACTTGGGTTTGTCGATGACGGCATTTTGAACAAAAAGTCCAACATTATCAAGGCGTGCAGCGTGCTGCACAACATCGCCCAAAAGTTTTCCATTCCTCTTCCACCTGCAACTGTCGCAACGGAGTCTCCATATCCAGGCAAGCAGAATGCAGCTTGCGGAGAGTTTGCCACTGAAGGCCTAAAAGCCAGACAAGAACTTATTGAAAAKAACTTTTTTGCTCCTTCCAAAATCTGAACGCAGCAGAATACAACATTTCAAAAGATGTTTTAAAAGACTGGTTATGTTCTATGAAGTAGAAGAGGCGACATGAACAAGTAGTGGACGCTCAGCCTAAACTGCAAAATTTACTGCATTTTTTTTCTTTTTAATTAGAAACTTTTAAATACTAAACAATACATTGTATGTATAAATTAGTTTTCTTTTTACTTCAACAGTTTTTATAATACTAATAAAATTTTACACAATCTGATTATCAGTGTCATTTTCTTATATTTGTATTAGTAATGGTACACACTTGTCAGATGAGAAGAACATAATGCAAAATAAAAATATCAAAAAGAACATTCATGTACAGTGAAAATGAAATATGTTAATGTATCTGAAATTCTATATATAACTAGACAGCTTGACACAGGAATCAGTCAATAAGTGCAAAAGGACAGTGCAGGCCAGACACTCGTTTATGGGTCAGACTTGTGGTTGTGGAGTTCTCTGAGGGCAGTGGCATTTTCATAAATCATTTCTGCGTTCTCGTAAATGTTTTCTTCCTGCTTCTCGTTGTGCGTCAGGCTGTCCATGATGCATTGGTGGAGGAAAATGTACTGGGACTGAAAACAACAAGAGTTTTGTTATCATTTGAAATGCAGAACTTGAATTAAAAATACTAAAAAAAATGTTAATGTAGTGTGCTGTTAAAGGCACTTCCTTGTTCCGTATTCAGAAATGACTAAAGAGTTTAAGAGCGGTGTTGGCCAAGTGCTTATATTTGTATGTTTAAGTCAGAATGAAAACATTTCTATAGATTCTAGCGATCCTGATCTAATATGAGAAAAGGAGAGTCATAGCTGAGCTACAGTACAGGAAACGTGAACAATGATTGCACTATCTGATTTTATAGACTCTTATTTCCTCTTATGAGACAAAGGGAAATGCTGAGTTTACATAATGTGGATGTTGTGTGTCTGACAGTTTGTTAATTCACCTTCATACCAGTCTACAGGAGTTACTTCTGTTTAGCTCCGCTTCTTCACCAACATAACACCGGTACTCATATTACTGTCAACATCCTTAACCGGTGGTGGTACTTACAGTTTCAGTAACAGGGTATTTCAAAATGATGGTGTTGTTACATCTGGTACCTGCTAAAAATCCTAAATCTCTTCTCATACTTATGACATCTTATCTGGTAATTAAGAGAGTCTATATATATA